GCGCTACTTCCACATCCCTCACAGAGTCAGATGAGTCAGACTGCTCAAGTCCCAGCCCTATTATATTCCTGGATGAAGTTGGATATCAGAAGAGTCTTAAAGCAAAACTTGACATTCCCAAGATCCCTGTTTTAAAGGATGGAGTAGAAGACTCTGACTCAGAAGTCAGTGAATTTTTCGACAGCTTTGATCAGTTTGATGAACTAGAGCAGTCTTTTGATTCCAACATCAAGGTCCTTAAAGAACAGCCCCTCCCTGGTCAAACACAGAAGCATGTTGACAACTCTGGTTGTAAATTTGTATCAAGGGGGTGCTCAACCACAGCAATGAACCCTCAAAAGTTTGATCATAGGACTCTTCCAGCCAATGTCAAGAAACCAACTCCACTTAAACCAGGATCACCGTACAGTATTCACTCTGATTCACCAGATTCCCCACGGCCTGCGAGGACTCCCTGCAAGGAAAGCGGGCCGCTCTTCAGTCCAGTTCGTTCATCTGCATTTAGCCCACTGGGAGAAGGAGGGTCCTTAGAGTATTTTTGGAAGGCAGATGGAGATGGCTCAGAATTATGTAAACCACAGGATCTTTGCTCGCTGTACAAAACGTACTCTGATTTTGCCAACAACCTGTCAAAAGAAATCCTTGGATCTGTCTGTGGGTACTCATCCCCTGTTGATTTTAACATTAATAAGAACTTGAGCTGTGTGTGTCATAAGGAGTTCAAAAACACTAATGGGCATCTAATGAAGCTTTCAGACATCCAGGAGACAGTCACCATCACCAAATCCCAATCACAGTCTCTTAAGGATGGGATTCAGAAGTTTGCTACAGACTTGGTTGAAATGAGCCTTGGAAGTGCCTTAAAGGACTTGCAGAAAGGTGTGTCCTCCTGTACCACTACACTTTGCCATTTGACTGCAAGGCTGACTTCTTCAGTATTTCAAATGGCCTTTCATGAGATAGGTATGCGCCATGCATATGTGTTAAAAGAGCATGCCATAAACGGTCTAGCCAGTTTCCTAGTAGGAGAAGCCATTTCTGGAGCCCTCAAAGAGTTTCTCTTTGTGAAAAAGCAGATTTTCAACAATACTGTCACACGATTTGCTGCAGATCTTGCTGAGGAATTAGTGTTTGAAGGAATTATGGAGGTTTGCCAGTTTTCGCAGCCCTCAACACCACTCACGCCAAGTGACTGGTCGTTTGAGCAAGAGGAGGAAGTGGTTTCGTCCTACGCCTCTGACCTGTCGGAGTCTGTTCTCCAAGAGGCTTTTATAGAGCTCTCACAAACTGATGTGACTTTCACTACACAGGCAGCTATCAGTGTGTCAGTAGACAACATTTGCTATGTGAGTGCTGAAGATAGTTCTCTCGTCACAAAAACCTGCAGTGCCCAAACTAGCTATCTTGGTTCTCAGGCCGCCGTTGAGGCTGTAAATCAAGAGCAGGATGGTTGCACAGTGAAGAAAGCCTTGTATTGCATGTCAGGTATGGCCAGTTGTGTTCCAGTTCCTGTGGCTGGCAAGGTCATAGCCCATGTGCACAACTCAGATGAACCTTCTCCGTATAAATCCAGCATTGGTCACGTATGTCAGACCATTCCTAAAAGAACCATTTGTTGCCAAGGGGAAGTGGCATCCTCAACCTCAGATACCTCTGAAGCAACTCCGACTGAATCATCACCAGGTCCTGCAAGAATCCAGGATGCCAGTGGTGAAGGATGTCCCAGCCTCTTAAATCCCATACAAGTTCAGGTCAACAACATGAATCATGTGCATTAGAGTTCATCGTGACTCACTCCATACAAAGTTAATGTTTTTTTTTTTTTTTAAAACAGATATAGAATCATGATTGTTTACTTTTTAACAATTTAATTTAAACCTGTGCTAGAAAATGGTCACACAAAATCAGAGCTGGGCAACAAATATTAATTATATACTGCTGATTTATCTAACAATATTGCACGTTATCAGTTGTAAGTAGTTGACTGTTTAGGCCAATTCAGTATGGTGTCCTATGGTGTCTTTTTTTTTTTTAATTGAGGCTTAGGTGATAAATTGAATATTCATGATATTCATATTTGCAGTGATTTTGCTGGTGATATAAAATTAAGCAACACTGTGAATAAGTTTTTTTTTGTGATTTTTTTGGAATTTTCGAAGATTTATGATCTCTCCTTGTCTTATGTTCTGCGAGTACAAGTACAATAAAATAGATTTAAGGGTTGTTAAGAGTTCAAAAAATATTTTTGAAAGAAGTCTCCTTGATTCGATTAAAACTTCAATAAAAAAGGTAATATTGTGAAATATTACAATTTAAAAGGGATGATCTCTGTTTTAATATATTTTCAAATATAATTATTGTGATGCAACAATTACTCCATTTTTCACTGTCACATGATCCTTCAGAATTCATTCTTATATGCTGATTTAATGTTACTACTAAATGCCCATCCAAATCAGGGCTGGACAACAAATATTTATGATATACTGCTGATTCATCTGCCAATATTAAATTAAGCAATATTTTGATTGGTAGAAAATGTTGTTCCTCTGATTGTATGAATGTTAAGAGGATTTTTTTTCCCATAATGCCACACCCCAAATATGCCACGATTTCTAGCTGAAACAGTATTGGAGCTGGTTTATATGAGAACTGGGAAGCTGGGAGCTCCT